GCAAGAAGCCTCGTTCACTGGGTACGCTGTAGCCCCATTTTAGGTATTCCAATCAGTCATAGGCAGAAGACGGATTTACAAGCCTTCTAGTGTGGTGTTTCTGACTATTCCTTTCTCTCCCTCTCCAGTATCTACTCTATATTATAATGCAAGGGAAACCAAGATTAAAACAAACAAAAAAACAGTCAAGCATCTTAACATGATCCCCCCCACATTCCAACCATGACTCAATCCCTGTATCTCAGAGCCCTTTCGAACATACCCAATTGTTCTCCCATCTGCCCTGTTTCTCCACTTCCCTCTCCCTCCCTGTATATTACCCCTCTTCATTGCACCCAAGCTCTCCTGTGTCCAATCCCCACCCTGCGATCAACCCTCCCCCCTTCCCCCCACCCATCACCAACTTCCCAACAACCAATAAAGTGTGTTTTGCTTTTAATGGAAGAAGAAAATGAGTGCTGGTTGGGAGCCACTAAGAGTATTTCACAACCCGTTTATAGACACTGGTCTTCTGCTGAAATTTCATTTGACGGAGGCTTGGGAAAGATTTCTCTGTGTCTTGGTTATTCTGAGGGCCTAGAAGTTATCTGATTTTGGAGTTAATCCCTCCTTCACCATCTTCCAGGGACCAGTTGTGTAATCTTTACAGAAACAGTTTGTCTTTCTTCCACATAGCAGAGCAGCTGTGTGGATTTGAACCACTAACCTTTCCTTAACAGCTGAGTGTGTCAACATTTGTGCTACCAGGACTCCTTTTGTTCATAATTTGTGTTTGTTAAGTGCTGTAGAGTCGGTTTCCACTCATAGTGATCCTATAGAGGGTTTCTGAGGCTTTAAAATTTTTTTTATGAGAGCAGAAAGCCTCATCTTTCTCCCATGGAATGGTTGGTGGGCTCCAGCTGCCAACCTTGTGGCTCACATCCCAAGGATTATCCTAAGAATCCACTACACTCCCTTGCACATAATTGTTGTTGTTATTGTTAAGTGCTGTCGACTTGGACTTGAGTCTGACCCATAGGGTTTCTGAGAAGCGGCTGTTGAGTTTGAACTGTCGACCCTGTGGTTCATCTCACCTTGCAGTCCAGTGCTTATCCTGTGGTGCCACACCAGGACTCCTTAAATAAATATGATCTATTCCGTTTTTCTCCAGTTGGATTCTCATGGTTATCTGCATTGTGTTTTGCTTGCAGATTATACATGGTGGTTTAACTGTAGATGTGAAAAGCGTATCTATTCACTTTGTATCCATGGTATTGACGTTCTTGTGACATTCAAGTGTCTTTATTGAACAAAAGAGGAATAGTAATCCTTCCCTTTGTGTTTCTCCGCATCCTCTATCCACTACCTGTGTCGGCTTCTATGGATACATAGTGAGGTGCCCTCGTTGAGAACTTCAAACAGAAATAATCACATGTGTGCAGACAATACATCACATGGATGAAAGCTGACTTTTTAGAACTACATTGACAGGTCTTTCTTCAGAGGAATCTCTGCATGGACTCAAACTGCCAACCTTGTGGTTAGCAGCCAAACTTTAAACTGTGTGTACAACTCCACAAAGGTGGAGATGGTGGTTGTGTGCCGCTGAGTCAGTTCCAACTCATAGCGACCCTGCATTGGGATCCTGAGGCTGTAAATCTTTATACAAAGCCTGGTAGATTTGAACTACTTATCTTGAGGTTAGCAGCCCAGCTCATAATCCACTATGATACCAGGGCTCCATCT